TCTGTTACCCGAGATAACTACCCACACGCATTCACACACGCACGCGCGCACACACGGACAAACACGTGCCTATCATCAGCCAATGGGTCAACTATACTAAAAGGACAACGGAAGGGTTAATAGAATATTTCAGATTCTAATTGTGCTTTTCCAACAGTTGAATAGGTAAAGGTCGTTTACATGAGCTGAATAACACTACAGTATAATACAATAGAATGGGATAGAATAGAATAGAAAATAATTGTGGGTAGTTGTCGCCCTCTGGCGTCCAAAACTCTACAACTATTTTGTCCTCTTGGGAACTTGACTGTTGCCACGTAGCTCAAACTTCCTGAAGTGTTTGTGCAGCGGCTTCTTTATTTGGCTGATCCATTGACTGGTCATTGGACTGTTCCCGCTGAACCTCTCCGAGGTGAGTGACTGTTAGGACAGAGGATGGAACGGACTTTATTGAACGTGTTTATGGTGCAGGTTAACGGTGCTGTGTTCTAAAACGCAACAGTTTGGGGTCGGGGTATAAAACAAACTTTTTTCTCCTCTCTTTTTTTTAAATTTAAATTAAGGATAAATACACGCAGACTCTCAAACAGTGGTTCTGTAACTGATGGAACTTGGGTCCTCTGGTCGTTTACAGAAGAGTGTGTTTATTTTTTTTTTTATTATTATGTTAGCAAAATAGTCCTGGAAAATGAAATAAATGTGACGAAAACGGCCCGGTGGTTAACCGGGTCCTTTACATAGTCTGGTTTTTAACATAACCTTGTTTTCGACATAAACTAGTTCTTAACATAATTTGATTCTTAAGGTTTTACTTTAAATTGTATTAATTATTTGACTGCACATGCCATTGCGTTAGCCTCATAGCACGATTACCTAAGTTAAATTTTTTTACCAGGTTTGTAATATGTGTCCAACTCTACTCTTCTAACACACTTGTTCTGATAAAACTGTCACGGTGAGCCATCAACATGGCAGGACCCAAATGCAGGACTGGTGCAGGTAGTAAAATTCACAAAAATCACTTTCAAAGACCAGGACAAAAGCATACGCAGAACTGAGAACAGGAACTGACATGACAACTAACAGATACAACATTGACCATCTACCATACAACACACAATGAACCCACAAGGAGGGATCACAAAGAGCACTAGGTGACACAAGTGAGACTAATTACAGACAGACCTGACAAAAACGTACTGCTACTGTTTCTTGCCAGCCAAAAAAAAATAAAAAAAATTTTTAAATAATGTATGTATGTAAAAACGAAGACAATGTTTGTCAGTGGTGGGTTAGAACCTGGAACTGCCTCATTAGTGTTATTCACTCACTTGTTGTATCTAAACCTCACACTGTAAACACTGTTAGTACATGTTGCGTAAGTCTGGACTTTTATGTGAAGTGGAAAATTAAAGCTTCAAAAGATGAACATGCTGCTACCTGCTAACGGGCTGATTCAAGTGTTTGCTGCCTAAACTAGATTTGAGAGGATTTTCCTCCTTGTAAATAATCAAAACACATTTGTTTACACCTTTAAAGCCTCTCTGAAGTGGAGCCCTTGTGAAACCCCGGTACTCGGTTGTCAAGGTGACGGAGATAAAACAACAGGCTCCTGTTGCTGTCTTTCCTTTCAGAAGGACGCCAGGATTATTTTAGCCATAAAATAATCTGTCTGCTCTGGTTTACAGACGATGTCCTCAGCTCCACAAAGCCGGTCCTTTTCGGTCTGACGGGCACAGAAATGGGTGAGTCGTTTCTCAGGTGATGTCAATGAAAACTTTATTTTTATGTCAACTTTAATTTGTGTGACGATTCCTGTGCTGCTGAAAAAGTGGGACATTTAAGATACCGTACCTTCGGTTTGATTGAATTTCATTTTATGTTCCTACTTTCTCGGAGCTTCATTTTCAACACTTCACCTCCCGCTCTCTGACACACGCTACAAACTTTTAACGTGCTACAAAAATAAATTGCATTAATTATGGATTCACAGCAATACCGGACGAACCAGGTTCTCCCGTGGAAGACATCTTCTCGTGAGAGTCTTGTTGCCGAACTCTCTCCAACTGCTGTCAACTGCTACATTTCCATTGATATTTCCAAACTGTTGACCACTCCTGGTCTTGTTTTCAGGGAGAGGTTTGGAATTTTCTATATTGACAACATTATAGGTGGATGAAAGGTTGTGTCTTAATCCACCTCCTCTATTGAGAGATGGTTTCTCCACTCTCTCAGACCTCTGGTGAGGAAATGTACTGGCTCTTCTGTGAACTTCCCAGTAGTCAGTCTGAACTGAAGAAGCCTCTTGGATGAGACGTGAAACGTCTTCAAGAAACCTACTCCGTCCGGTTGCCCTCGATGATAACTATTTTTTGGATAAGATGACCTGGATGACTGAGAACCTACACAGACATCTGTTTCCCATTTTGTTTTAATATATAGGGTTGAATGTGTTTGAAAGTGGCTTCAGCCACTGATGCACAACTGCCACTCAGAGTGCCCTGTAAATAACCCGTACAGCCATCGTTAGACCTCAACATCTTTCATGATCGAACCTCTGACAACCGTCGACCTCAACCATACCTTCTGTGTTCCTCGCTCCCAGGTTCCTCCGTCCTCCCTCTGGCCTGCGTGGTGTCGGCTCTGGGTGGGCTGGTCTTTGGCTACGAGCTGGGCATCATCTCAGGGGCTTTGCTGCAGCTGAAGGTGGAGTTCAGCCTCTCCTGCGTCCAGCAGGAGGCTCTGGTCAGCTCCTTGCTGCTCGGCGCTCTCCTAGCTTCCACTCTGGGCGGCTGGCTGATTGACCGCCATGGACGCAGGAACGCCATCCTCCTCAGCAACGTGTTGATCCTGGCGGGTAGTCTGGTCTTGCTCATCAGCTGCTACCCCGCCCTGGTGGTTGGGAGGGCGACGGTGGGTTTTGCCATGTCCATATCCTCCATGTCCTGCTGCATCTTCGTGTCCGAGGTGGTCAGCGCGGATCGCAGGGGCTGCATGGTGACCCTGTACGAAGCCGGGATCACCGTGGGAATCCTGCTGGCCTACGCCGTCAACTACGTCCTGTCGGGCTGCAGCGGAGGGTGGAAGTGGATGTTTGGGTTCGCCGTGGTTCCGACCGTGCTCCAGCTGGTCTCCGTCGGTTTTCTCACACCGGGAACAAAGAGAACTGTGAGCTACTGCGGTCAGACGGACAGAGCTCTGGTCAGCTCCGACGGAGCACAGGAACCGGAAGAACCGGGACACTCCGCCAGCAAAGACAGGAAGACGGTGGGCAGCTGGTACCTGTTCCAGAGTCAGGACAACATGAGGACTAGGACGCTCCTCGGGCTGGGACTGGTACTGTTTCAGCAGTTCACAGGTCAGCCCAACATTTTATTCTACGCCTCCACCATCTTCAGCTCCCTGGGCTCTCACAGCACACACGCTGCTCTGCTGGCCTCCACGGGACTGGGACTGGTCAAAGTGGTGTCCACCCTGACGGCAATGGTGCTGTCAGACAGAGTGGGCCGGAGAACCATGCTCATCAGCGGATGCTGCGTGATGGCCCTGAGTCTGATGGTCATCGGCCTCTTCAGCGGACCAATGAGAGCTCAGGATTCCTGTCGTTCGGTGAACGCTACTCTTCGTCCTCAGGACGCTGTTGGGAATCGCTCTGTTTTCGACGTCCCTGCTCTGTCTGTGAACAACAACAACTCGCGTGCGAGTCAAACTGGACCGCAGTCACTGACACCTGCTCAGGTACCGGGCCTCTCTGATGCAGCGGAGAACTGGCTGATCCTCGTTTGTATGATGGCTGTTGTTGCTGCATATTCCACTGGATTTGGACCAAGTTTGTCTTTTTTTTTTTTTATTCGTTCATTCATTAATCCCTCACACAGATTCATATTCAAGCTCACGATTCATTCGTTCATTCATTAATCTCTCACACAGATTCATATTCAAGCTCACGTCCACACTCATATCCGTTGTATTTTACCCCCCGATCCTGTTGCATGAACTACACTGTAGTCTCTGTCCGAGGCTAACGGGATGCTCCCTGTTTCTGACCAGTGACCTGGCTTCTCCTGACTGAAATATTCCCTGCTGCGGTCAGAGGACGAGCGTTTGCCTTCATCAGCTCCTTCAACTGGGCGGCTAACCTGCTGGTTACCGGCACTTTCCTAAACGCCGTTGGTAAGTTGGAGGATTAATCCATATTCATTTATATTCACCTTAAAAGAATATATTCAGAAAAAAAAAAAAACAATGTTAAAATATTTTTTCTCTCACAACTCACATTCAAGTATAAACAGTTAGAACTGTTAGGACCTGTCGGGACTATTAGGACCTGTCGGGACTGTTAGGACCTAAGTTAGAACTGTTAGGACCTGTCAGGACTGTTAGGACCTGTCAGGACCTGTCGGGACTGTTAGGATGTTAGGTATTAGTAACTCCACTTCAGTACTTTTAGTTTCTCTAATTTATTTTCCCTTTGGTTGGCTGGTGTTCGAGTAGTTGAAAGATTGGGCTCGTTGTCAGAGCAGGTTGCGGGTTCAAATCCTGGTCCAGACAGGTCTGTAGTGTTGATTAAGCAGCAAAAAGTAAATAAAAAAAAAAAAAAAAATCATTGGGGGTTGTTTCCACACAGGGGTACAACCCAAGTCTCCTAAACAAAGAGAGTCATTTCTAAATGAGGATCAACAAAATTAAAAAGTTTCAGTCTAATCTGTTTTACTCACTTCCGTATTCAGCTCCAGGACAGGTTCAGAGTTCCTGAAGAGGAAATAAACAAACTAAAAAAAAAAACCCCTGCTTGGAGCCTGAAGTGTGTTTGTGTTCCTCAGATGTCTTGGGACTGTCAGGGATGTTCTGTCTTTACGGGACCACCGCCGTTCTAGCTGCTGTATTCTTTTACTTCATGCTGCCGGAGACTAAAGGAAAGACCCTGGAGGACATAGACAGGGAGCTGCGTTTGAACAGGTTGGAACTTTTTATCAAAATGATTCAAATTCATTGCCCCTCCCCCCCAAAAAAAAATTTGGGAACCATTAACACGAGACGTTACCTGCAGTAAGGGTTGTTTGATCACAGTGTAATGAAGAGTTTGTTTTCTTGCTCTGAACAGGTCTTATCACAGTGATCGGTGCTGCGGTTGCGTCACGCTGAGAAACTCTACCTCGCAGTACCAGAGGGTCGGCTGTCACAGTGTCTCGGAGTAAATATTTGAAGTATACAAAATACACAATGGCAATTATTACAGTCAAATGAACTGAAGTGAAACACTGTGAAGAAACCTGATCACATGACCTGACAGTCATTTTTGTTTTTATGTTGTGTTCTGTGTCACTGTTACTGTAAAAAAAAAAAAAAAAAAATTATAATAAACTCTTACACTAAGCTACAGAAGGTCACGGGTTCAAGTCCCATCTCTAATTGTCTCTTCTCTCCTGGGTCATTCGGAGTCACTGTTTTTATCATGTTGAACTAACTGTAACTAAACAATTCAACAAATGTATATTTATAGAATACAACACATACTGTACATATATTTACTCGAGGGGGGCGCCAAAGGGCTTTTCTGCTTCTCCCCACTCTCCATACATCCAAGGCTCCAACTTGTTCTCCTTCATGGTATTAGAGCACCCTCTAGTGACAACAGCCCAAACCTGCACTTAGATGCTAATAAACAAACCAAGTGTGGTATCATAAAATGTCTCCGCCGATAGTGGGACTTGAAAAAATAAAAATGTCTCCGCCGATAGTGGGACTTGAACCACTGACCTTTTTACTTCAAGGCATCATGGAAGTAAAGTCATCGGCTTAACAGTTTTGTTTTGTTTTCGTAGAAAGAGATAAATATGAAATAATCTTTGGAGCTGGTTTTCTATTAATGACATCGTGATGTGATTAATCTGAGGTGAAGTAAACGTTTTATACTTATACGTGTTCTGGTTTTTTACTTAACTCTCCGATAGTGTTCAGTCAGGGCAGAGGGCTCGATTCCAACCACAGGGGGTGCAACCAACACAGAGGAGGTTTAAAACCAGGACCTGGAAATTTGCTTTAAATAGTTGAAAAAACAAAAAAGACAGAAAAGAGTGGAGGACAATAAAAGTATACAGTGGAGTACAACATCTGCCCAGTACTGTGTACATTACAGGTATTACTAGGTTAGGTTTATCACACATCCAGAAAAAGATTGTGTGTTTTCTTTTCCTCCTACTGCCAACCTCTCGGTCCATAATCACCTGACTTTAGCTGTTGGTATGGTCTCAAACTGTGGTCTGCTGCTTGGTGTGTGGCCATCCTGTCCTCGAACTACTCCTGGACAGAACACTGGTGAACCTTGACCCCCTGGGTTATAAAGACAACCAAAATCCAGCTGATTCACTCAGCTCTGGTTTCTCTCCCCTCTAGTTTGACTGACTGTCTGACTGACTGTCTGACTGACTGTCTGACTGACTGTCTGTCACCTCTTTATCTGTCTGACTATCAACTGTCTATCTGTCTGACTGACCTACTGTCTGTCACCTGTCTATTTGTCTGACTGTCACCTGTCTGTTTGCCTGTCACCTGTCTATCTGTCTGACTGACACCTGTCTGTCTGACTGACTGTCTGTCACCTGTCTATTTGTCTGACTGTCACCTGTCTGTTTGCCTGTCACCTGTCTATCTGTCTGACTGACACCTGTCTGTCTGACTGACTGTCTGTCACGTCTGTCTGTCAACTGTCTATCTGTCTGAGTGACCTTCTGTCTGTCTGTCACCTGTCTGACTGACTATCTGTTTGTCACCTGTCTATTTGTCTGAGTGTCACCTGTCTGTTTGCCTGTCACCTGTCTGACTGACTATCTGTTTGTCACCTGTCTATTTGTCTGAGTGTCACCTGTCTGTTTGCCTGTCACCTGTCTGACTGACTATCTGTTTGTCACCTGTCTATTTGTCTGAGTGTCACCTGTCTGTTTGCCTGTCATCTGTCTGACTGACTATCTCTTTGTCACCTGTCTATTTGTCTGAGTGTCACCTGTCTGTTTGCCTGTCATCTGTCTGACTGACTATCTGTTTGTCACCTGTCTATTTGTCTGAGTGTCACCTGTCTGTTTGCCTGTCACCTGTCTATATGTCTGTCTGCCACCTGTCTATATGTCTTACTGTCTGTCTGTCATCTGTTTATCACCTGTCTATCTGTCTGACTGTCACCTGACTGTCTGATTGACTGTCTGTCTGTCTGCCTGTCACCTTTCTGTCTGTTGACTGTTTGTCACCTGTCTATCTGTCTGACTGTCACCTGTCTATCTGTCTGACTGTCACCTCTCTGTCTGATTGACTGTCTGTCTGCCTGTCACCTTTCTGACTATCACTAATCCACTGTCTGACTCACTGTCTGTTTGACACCTGTCTTGTCTGTTGACCGTCTGTCACCTGTCTGTCTCTCAGGGCAGATGGTGAGCCACCATGAATTCACTTCTTCTTTCCGATCAAACCCCAGATCAGCACCGCAGTCTGATCTGTCCTCTCACTTGTCTCTGTCTCCACTCAGTTAGGAATGTTAAAGTTAACACCCGTCTGTCTCTCAGGGCAGATGGTGAGCCACCATGAATTCACTTCTTCTTTCCGATCAAACCCCAGATCAGCACCGCAGTCTGATCTGTCCTCTCACTTGTCTCTGTCTCCACTCAGTTAGGAATGTTAAAGTTAAAGGGTTAATCATCACTGAACTCCTCTTCTCCTCCTCCTCCTCCTTTGTGTACATGATGTCCACTTTCTCTGTCTCTGCTCCTTCCTTTGTCTCCCCACCCTCTTGCTGCCCCCCTCCTGCTCACCTCCCTCATGTGTGTCTCCTCAGGGAGGGGTTCTGAGCGGCAGACACTCCTCATCTCTGATTGGCTCCTGTCTTCTCGCTGTGCCACGGCCCCTGCGCAGAGAAGGAGAAACTGAGGAGTGCTGTGATGCTGCCACTCCCCCCTCCAGCCATTCACTCTCCCTGCACACCCCCCCTCGTCCCCCCCACTCTCCTAGCCTCCTTGTCTGCTTCCTTTCATCTCCTCCTCCTCTCGCTCGCTGACCGACGGTGGAAGGATGGTCATGTGATCTTCTAATCCCCTGGGATTTTCTGTTTTTTTTCCGGGCATGCTCTGTGGCCGCCTCCCCTCCCTCTCCTCCCTCTCCTCCCTCTCTCCTCATGAGTGAGGAGAGCTCAGCTTTTATTGTTCTGCATCCAGCCGCCTGCGTGCTCTGCTTCCCTTCCTGGAGGATCTATTGTTAGCTGCAGTGACATTAACAGCTGAATGGTGTGTTGGAGCCCTGCCTTCACACACACACTCACACACACACTCATGAGAGGATGCACAGTCTGGAATACATGTGCACGGATGTGGCGGAGTTCCTACATGTGATGGGTAAGAGACATGCTAGCTGCTGTGTTCTGCTCTCTCTCTCTCTGTCTGTGTGTGTGCTGCTTAAAGATTATGCAACCCTGAAATGATGTGACGACTGTGTTGACCGCACGTCACCGAGGGTTTAAGCAAGCGAGCGCGTGTGCGTGTGTGTTTTAAAGCCTCTTTTCTGTGGCATCTTCCTGCTTCGGTGAACTACAGAACAGAACAGAGATCAGATCATCTCCGTTCTGTGTGTCAGCTACAAACACAACAACAGAACAACAGAGGTGTGGTGGTGTGTGTGTGTGTGTGTGTGTGTGTGTGCATCACCTGCACTGATGTTCACCGGCAGCTCGCTCCTGCTTCCGTGGGCTCGAAAAACAACAAACCGACATTTTAACTCAGGAAACGTGTGTTTTAAGGTGGGCCGTATGTGTGGTCCATGTGGGCCACGGGCCGTGGTGTTGTTATGATACCAGTGAAATGTTTACAGTTGAAGGGTTAGGACCACAACCTGGGCGTCAGCGGCGACTGTTTATAAGAAAAGGAGCGAGCTGAGTGATGCTTTATGTGTCATCTATGACACATCTGATTTGATGTCATCTCTGTGACTGGTCTCAGATCTGCTAAAAAGAAATAAAATATATATAATATATATTTATTTATATATATATATATTTATATATAATGTGTATATATAAATAAATATATATATATGCATATATATACATACATACATACATACATACATATATATATATATATACATACATATATACATATATACATATATATACATATATATGATGCCGCAACAACAACACTGCCACACTATCAATATACATATATATACATATATACATATATATACATATATATATGATGCCGCAACAACAACACTGTCACACTATCAACACTCAACTGAAGGACACACATACACAATGATCTGACTATTATATTATATTATATTATATTATATTATATTATATTATATTATTTGTTGATCATTTCAACGCATGGCGCCCCACCGTACTTCCACTGTCTTCGATTCACAGTCCCTTCACGTGTCATTTTCACACACTGTTGCGGAGAGTTTTCCCTTCAGCCAATCAGCCGCGTCGCATCTCCAACCTGTGTTCGCGAGGGATTCAACCTGAGGTCAGCAGCCCGGCTGTTTGTCAGACCAGCCTAACTATTCTTACAAACAATCTGGATTAATCCCCATTAATCCACAGCTCTTCTTTGGATTGAGCAGATTAAGTTGGTAATTGGTTATTATTGATTTCTGATCAGTATTGATTTGCTAAGCAATGATAATTATTTGCAGAACAAAAGGGCACACTGTCCTTTCCTTGACACCTTCACTGGCAGTACAATGCCAGTGTAGGAAACGAATTATACGCAGACAGAAACAGACGGTGGTTCTGCTGGGAGGGGCCGGGGGGGGGTGTCTGCAGGGGCATCAGGGGACTGTGCTAAATGCCACATGGCAGCATTAAGATAATCTCAGCCAATTCCTCTGCAATCCTGATCAGAGGTAAAGCAGGATGAGGAGGCTTCAGTGGGCCGGGGGGGGGGGGGGGGGGGGAGAACCCACACTCTGCTGTCCTGGGAATTATTTTCTGTTACAACTCTGACTGTAACGACCCACCGTAGGTTCCTTCTTCATTTGTCTAAACTATTAATGCTAATGCTTAATGCTGTTATTATAAACAGCAACAATGTAAAAAATATATAAATAAATGCAATAATATATATATTAGCAGCAGCAGCAACAGGCAGGTGGATATGACGTAGGTTTATAGAAAAAAAGGAACAACAGTAAAAATAGGTGGTTTCCATATTATTATTATTATTATTTTTAATTTCTCTACATCTGTTTAAAACCTAAGAGTGATGTAATGAAGCCAAAAGTGATTCTAGAGTCAGGCATTAGCTCCGCCCACCTGATGTCAAAGTCATTAACTAACCAAACTCCATTCGTTCAACAATCAATCACTATTATCTGGAGATTATCTAGAGATTTTACCAATTTTTTTAAAACAATAATATTTTTTTTTTCTTAATTATTATTATTTTATATGATCAACATATTTGTTTCGATCTATGTTTTGGATGTTTGGGTGGGGTGGGAGGTTTAATTTAATTAATTAATAGTATATTTCTGGGGGGGCTGTAATTAATACAATATAAAATTGAATTGATTTTTAGTTATTTCTAATAGGGAAAATGCAACAGCGATACGAGTGCTGTTGTGAAAACGGATTGAACTCGTATCTCGGGGGTCCACTGTACTTATAGATACTGTACCTGCCTTCACTCTGACATGTACACAGACACCCACACGTCTGCTACCATGGCAACAACCACAACAATGGGAAAGCCCCATTACTAAGATTAAAAAGTGGAACAGAATGTGTATGTGTGTGTATGTGTGTGTGTGTGTGAGGCGGGTGGGGGGGGGGGGGGGGGGAGGGGGGGGGGTGCGATGGAGATGAGAGGACATAACAGCAGGAGGAAGGAGCGAAGTGGGCAAGGAAAGAGGAGTGAAAGTTCATCAAACTGAACTGATCTGTGTGAAGAGAAGATTTTTTTTGGTTATATATATACATATATATGTATATTTATATATACACATATATACATATATACATATACACATATATACATATACATATATATACATATACATGTATATATATATACATATATATGTATATTTATATATACACATATATACATATATACATATACACATATATACATACAAAGTCTCCCTTAATAAAACGTGAATTTAGTTCATTCATCAGATCTAATTAAAAATGTCCCCACAGTGACATATTTGCAGGTTGAGCTTCATTAATCACATGGCTGTTAGTGAAATTTGCAGGTGGAAGAGGCGGGGGGGGGGGGGGGGGGGGGGGGGGCAGTGGGGGCCCCTCTCATTACTTATTCATGCCATGTCTGCAGAGAGTTCCTCTGTGTTTGTCTGAGGCTGAGACATCAATCAGTTTGTCAGACTAATTAGACAAACAGACCAACTCTGCAGACTGCAGGTCTGGACCGCAGGCAGGTCAGTTGACCTCACATTGTCCGACTCTGTCAAGACTCACCTTAGTACTTTGTGTCGACTTACAGAAGTGTGAGTCTGTTCTGTACCGCCCCCGCCTCGTACGACTTCTCTGTGTTGTCTCTCTTTGTAATCCGATCACAACAAAAGCGTCTGCCAAACGAGCAAATGAAAATCTACAGTTAGTAGTGAGTTATGAAAGTGGGAGAGATAAATGTCCACCTCCACCCACTGATAAAATGACACTGAGTGGAGGAGGCAGAGAGACGTGGAGGAGGCCTGCGGCTTAGCCTTCCCAAGAACAGGAAGCAATTAAACCAGAGGCCATTACCAAGTCCCTGAGGAGACAGATGGAGCAGGTGGAGGAGGCGGAGGAGGCTGAGGGAGGTGGAGGGAGGTGGTGTCATATTTAACGATAAACAATCATTAGATATTTCCTTTCTTAGAGAAAATGTTTTTTTTCTTGTTGAAGTGAGGATCTGAAAGGCTGAGATGTTGGTCTAACCCAGTGGTTCTCAATTATTTTCTGTCATGCCCCCCCTTGAGGACAGAAATGTTATCACGCCCGATTTGAAATACTATCGAGAACCTGATAACATGTATATTTTTTATCTGTACAAACCACTGTATGAGTTGCTGCCACCTAGTGACTAGAGGGACTAGAGGGTTGTTATCAGCCATATTCCATTGGAAGTCCCCCCCGCGCCCCCCACTATTTCAGAAGTACTGGTCCAACTAAAGCCCAAATATTTTAACACACTTATAAAATGGAACTGCATCTTAACCGTGAATCTAAACAATAACAAAGCACTATAACATAGAACATCCAGACATGTGCTGTTAAGCTAGGCCAAGTTAACTGTTAGCTCAGGTTAGCTGGTAGCCTCAGTTAGCTGTTAGCTTGGGTCGGCTGTTTTACGCACAGATTAGCCGTTTTAGCTCAAGCTGAGAACTGCGATCTGATCTAAAACAGACCCATCGCAGGCCCCGCCCACAACGACACACCCACCTATTAAAGCATAGATTTAAACTAAATCACTAAAGCACAGCATCGACATTGGCCCCCGTGTTCAATCAGTGTCAAAAGAGAAACTGAGTCAGGCTTTAAATGCAACATAAGGTCTGAATTTGTATGTATATTTTTAAAATATATTTTGAATACATATGTATTCGTTTGTATTGATATGAATGTATTTCAAACAAAACTGTAAAAGAAAGTGACATTTGTAAAAAAAAAAAAATCAGCTTTGATGAACATAGAAAGAACTGCAGATACTGCAAATATCAAAAAAAGTCCTACTGCGAAGGACATGTCCTGCTGGATGGTGATTGGTTTAAAAATGGTTCAGAACTCATTTTAGTTGCTGTTTCTCACTGTGAGTATTTCACTGAGAACAAACAGAGATTAGGGCTAAACCAAAAAAAAAAAAAAAAAAAAAAACTGCCATCAGCTTACCGCTAAGAAACTGTAGTTTCTCTTTTCCAGAACACACACACACAAATACACACCAACCATCATTTCACCAGCCTGGTTATATAACCATTGCCCCACCCTTGGTGCAGTTGCTGTGTTGTATGAATGCAGATGTCTTTAAACTGGAGACTCTAATCCAGCAGCTGCAGCAGCAGCAGTTAGGAATACGTTGTTAACAAGCAGCAGATGACTCCCAGAGGTGGGACCAAGTCATTGCTTTGCAAGTCACAAGCAAGTCTCAAGTCTTTGCACTCAAGTCCGATTCAAGTCTCAAGTCAAAATAGGCAAAGTCTGAGTCGAATCCAAGTTAAGTCCCAAGTCCTGCTGTTTCTGTTTCGAGTCCTTTCGAGTTCGCCTTCCACTCACTGCCACTCCTTTTTTGTTGACCATCTCGTAGTTTTTAAATCCGAACAACACGATCTTTGGTATCATTTTCTCTAACCGGCGCATTGTTCGACAGATCTTTCTCATTGGTTG